TCTCTCTCTCTCTCTCTCTCTCTCTCTCTCTCTCTCTCTCTCTCTCTCTCTCTGTGTGTGTGTGTGTGTGTGTGTGTGCGTTGCCGTAGAAGGTTGGGTTTCAAATTCAGGTTTGGCCTTTTTCAATCCATCCACACACACCCCAACCAGCAGGAATATCTTCCAGGTGGAACTGGGCAGTTCCAAATTCGGGTGGAGCGTCCCAAGGCATTTGGTGCCTCCATTTGGTGCCTGCTTTGAGGGGAAGGAGACCCTTCCTTTCCGTAGAACGTGTTTATAAACAAAGAATGCTAAAATAGATTTAGGTGGATCCCCAATTAATCCCCCCCCTCCCGCGGTGGCTCTCGGAGGGGGGCCGTGGCTCTATATCACCAGCCAGGAATTCTGCTCCACTCGCCTCTTGGTTAATGATTGGGGAGCGTGGAAGGGAGGGAGCGGCTCGTCTGGTAATTGCAAAGGTTTGTTCAATTTCATCTGGCTAATTTCGAAAGACAACCGTCGCAGATGCGCATTGCAATATCCGCCCCACATTAGCTTAGCTAATAAATTTGACCTATTGTGCGTTTGTTAAAATGATGTCACCATGGAACAGTCCCTAAGCTCCTATTCCAATGAATTAGGCCTTTATTGAAACCCGGGAGCCAATGGGAGGAGAGAGGCTTGTTTGGTGTGGCCAATGGCAGCTGCCGGAGAGAAATTAGAAGCAGAAACTCAAGGTTTGGTTCAAAAAAGATGACACAGAGCCTGTCGGGCTGGACCACTCTTGGCAAAGTTTCAGTGTGACATCTATACAAACCAGGACCTTACATGGATCTACTGTAAAAAAAGGAAGGGAGCGTTTTTATAGGGGAAATCTTGCCGGGGTGTTTTTTTTCCCCTCTCTCTCCCCTCTCCCCCCCGATTGAGCCCAATATTTCTATTCACCAAGGATGGATCAGCCAACGAACGCGCAGACACCGCATCAACACGAACCCATCAGCTTCGGGATTGATCAGATTTTAAACAGTTCTGATCAGGAGACCCCTTCCCAGCCCGCCCCCCGAGGATCCGACGGCGGCGGCACCAATTACCTGGGCAGCCCCGTAAGCAGCAGAAGCAGCGCCCCGTACCCTTCCCTCCCGGGCGCCTTCGCTGGCATCGGGGCTCCCTTCGAAGACTCTGGATCTTACAGTGTGAATCTCAGCTTGGCTCCATCTGGCGTGATCCGGGTGCCAGCGCACAGACCCATCCCTGGGGCAGTGCCACCTCCAATTTCTAGTGCCATTCCAGCCATGCCAGCTGTACCCGGCCTTGGCAGCCTCAACTTCCCTTGGATGGAGAGCAGCAGGCGGTTCGTCAAAGACAGATTCACAGGTAAGCGGCGGCGGCGGCGGCCGGGTTGGCGAGCGCTCTCAGGTGTAGAAGGCCGGCCGGTAAGGTTGGGTCTCCTGCGCGGAGGAGCAAGAGGGTGTGGGAGAGAAATTGGCTCTGCTTCATCACAGAGGAGAAAAAGAGAGAAGGGTGGTTTTTTTTTGTAAAGGCCGAAACAATACAGGCGTGTGATGCTAGGAAAATTGGCCGACCAGCCCGACTGCCGGCTTCTCTATTTTCTTTTCCCTGGCAAACTGCTTAGCATATCCAGGAGTGAAAGTGGGATCAGTTTGGGTGGTCCTGTTTCAGGACGGCCAAAGCGATGCCTTGAGTTCTTCCGGAGATCGAATGCTCTTTCCTTCCCTCGCCCCCCTAAACCCAACACGATCAAGGGAGGAAATCTTAAATCTAGCCGCTGTTCTCAGAATAAGAAATCCTTCGGGGTGTGATTTTCTCAGGAAGGGCGAAGGAAGGCGAGTAAATGGCCGTGTCTAATCCGATTACAGCATTTAGTGCTAGAGAGGGAAGAGGACGATAAAGAGAACAAAAGAAATTTATAAAGATTTAAGTACTTCCAATGAAAACAGGATTAAGCCAATTAGGACGAGGCGAGCAGGGGGTTAAGTGGATAAGGTTAGCTTCACCTTGCAAAGCGGCTAATCGGACGAGAAGTTCTGAGTGTGCTGTGTCACTTCAACACAATTTATATTTGTGGGTAAAAAGGGAGAAACGTTTCAGCCGTAACAGTTAGTAGCAATAACTTTCATGGTAATTTTTTCAAGAAGAAAATATACGGAAAATCCCTAAATCCTTTGTTATAATTAAAATTATACTTGTACAGTTATTATAATTATAATTGTTATAATTATAATAATTTATTTGTATCATTATTTATTATTATTAATTCAGAAGAAATATGCATAGTAGCTAAGGATGGTTTCTTAGACACGTTTAGAATTACTCGGTGAGTCAATTTTTCGCTTCAGGGCCAGCTGTTTCCTTCCCTGGCAATGTACTTTATATTCCGAGGCGTGGGACACCAGAAAACAAACGAAACATTAAGAAAGCAGGCAAAAGGCGATTCGGTGGTCTTCTTTCCCCGTTTCGGAGGCGGATGGAGGGAACTTTTCCGTCTCAAGCTGGCCTCTCGCCGTTTCCTATTGCCAAAGCCGGCGTTTGGCTTTTGCCCTTTGAGCTAGAGATCCATCGCTCAATTTTTTTTATTTTAAAAAACGGGTTTCTTTTTGCTTTCATATTACCCCGGTTCTCCTGTGGCACAGCCTCTAGGATTAGACACCCCCTACACACAAACACACACACACACACACACACACACAGACAGAGACACAGACACACAGACACAGACACAGACACACAGACACACACACACACACACCCCTCCAGCACCACCAGCAGGGTTGGCACAAGGGGCGGGACAAGCCACCCCTTTCGCTCCCCGCCCGAGCACATGGTGTCAGGGAGGGCGGGCGGGGGAGGGCTGTCACCTGCCACCGAGCATCCAGCCCATCCGCCCAACCCAGCGCCCCCAGCAGTGGGTGCTGCGGGCCGCGGGGACTTTCCGAGAGGCTGCTCCGGGTTACTCCCCGAGTCCGGGCCTCTCCAGAGTCACTCGCTGGGCACCTTAAGGGGCCGGAGGAGAAAGCCAGCGAGCGACCCTGCCGCCCCAGCGGTTCCAGGTTTAAGGGGCCCCACTCTCGATCCCTCCCCCAACCCGGTGCCTGCCCCGGCTGACTGGGTCTCCCTTTCTATCGCAGCGGCGGCGGCGCTGACGCCCTTCACGGTGACGCGGAGGATCGGGCACCCCTACCAGAACCGCACTCCGCCCAAGCGCAAGAAGCCGCGCACCTCCTTCTCGCGGGTGCAGATCTGCGAGCTGGAGAAGCGTTTCCACCGGCAAAAGTACCTGGCCTCGGCCGAGAGGGCGGCGCTCGCCAAGTCGCTCAAGATGACCGACGCCCAAGTCAAGACCTGGTTTCAGAACCGCAGGACCAAGTGGCGGTGAGTCCCGCGGACGCGCGGATGGGCCTGGCATCTTCCGGGGGTGGGGGTCGCTGTGAACAGGGGAAGAAGCGGGTTGGGCCTTCTCCTTTCGCCTCCCTTCGCAATCCTCGCAGGGCGCCGGGTAGACGCGAAACAAGGCAACACTTTTGTGAACTCTTTAGGCCGGGCCCATGGTCCACGCGTTAGGCCAACCCGCTTGGGAGCCTGGATTTGCCTCCTCCTCCTCTCCTCCTCCTCATCTTCCCTTGGACCCTTTCGGAGCGCAGTGGCCTAAAAACCTGCTTGGCCGGAAGGATGCCTTGCGGGAGCTGAGCAAAGGATCGCTTTAGCACAACGACCGGTTTGGGTTTTTGGGTAGGGTGATCCCAAAAGATCATCCCATACAGAGTTGGACGATCCAGGACAATCACGAGAGCGTCAATATAAAACCACGTTCACAGAAACCGTGGCCTTAGCGCGCCGAGCCCGCGAATCACGGGGAAATTCTTAGGATACCCTGGTGCCCCCGTCCCGCCACTTCCCTCCCTCCCTCCCTCCCTCCCTCCCTCCCTAGGGTGTTAGTGAGACAGTAAAAGAAAAGGGCCCCTTTTGGAAGAGACTTATGGAACCACACAGCGAGGTTGAGCCGAAAACGGGCCGCGGGCGTTTGCAGGTCCAGGTGGAAGTTTGACCCTTCCGTGGCCCAAGAAGCACAGAGGTGGGCGGCCAAAACCCGTTTGCTTTCCGATTGAGGGTGAAAGGTTTGCGGTTCCTATCGGTAAACCGGGGCTCGGGGCGTTTAATTACCGCTATCTGGACGAGCGTTGGCTTTTCAAGGCTTGGAGTCTCAAAAGGGGGAAGTTGGAGGGGGAAGAGGGGGAAGGAGAATCCCCGCTAGAGGCTCAGGTCACTTCTTTACACTGATCCGCACAATTTCACCCTAGGAAGGTTGTTCTCCAAATCTTACCACCAACCAAGCTGGGCCAGCGGGGCAAATGCGTTAGGGGCCGGAGCTGCTTCGATTGAGCGCGCAGTGTGGAGACAGGGACGCGAACGCTTAAAAAAAATCCCCTCTTTGGAGATCAGCGAAGATCGGCGAAGGCCGAGCTTCAACTCCCGGCTGAGAATGGACCTTCCCTAAGATTTCGCGGGCCTCTCCTGAATCGGAGGCAGAACGGAACTGCTGTGTTCCGTTTTATGGGCCCCGAGGCCTGGCTGCCGTGGGGAAGCTGGGAGGCCGGGTCAACGGAGCTGGGTCCTGTGGAAAGGATCTGGGTGGCTCCCCTGCGCGGGTGGTTTCCCCCGAGGGTCCGCCTTACTTGATCCAGCTCCCTCGGTTCTTCTCCGCGGCGTCCAGCGAGAGTGAATCGGAGACGCAGAACCTTGCGCGAATGGGAAACGCGTGTCGAGGGGAGAGGCGTTCCTGTCCACGCATCGTTTTTATAACCCGTTTTTCTCCCAAGGCAGAGGAGGGGCAGGCAAGCCTGGCCCCTGCCCGATCCAGCGTTGCCTGTTCCCAAATGGCCAATCCCCAGTTTGGTGGTGGTGGTGATGATGATGATGATAACAACATCTTGCGACGATACCTTTAACACCATTAAACAAGAAACATCTCCCTATCTCGGGTTATCGGGAAGGACTGGATAGGTGGACAAAAAAGGCCAATCCCAGTTTAAACATCTGGCTTGTGTGAGCCACGAACAACAACAACAACAACAACAACAACAACACCACATTTAATTTATCTGTCGCCCAACTGGAAGAGCCTCTGTCCCAACAACTTCCCCAAACCCACAAAAACTTAGAGCGATGTCTTTCCGGTGTTGTTCCTCGGCTGGAAGGCGTCGGTCCCGGACGGGAGTTGAAAAGTATCTTTTCCCGAGGTTTCAGCAAGTCCAATCCCTGGCTCAGATTCCCCAAGTCTTTTCTCCAGAGCCAGAGGGCCCCAGCCTGCAGGGCGTGGGAAGAGTCTGGATCCCTCTGGCGCTGGCCTTCTGGCAGCGTCTGCTGCGGAATCTCCCCAAATAGCAAAGCCCCCGTTTTCCCTTTCTGTTCCGTTTCTGTTTCGTTTTGTACTGCGGGACCTTCAGGGGAATCGGCCGCCCTGGAAATAGCGGCTGGCAGGGAGATCCTTCTTTCCCTGTTTCGGCTGAAATCTCGGGTGAAGTAAAACCCAAGGAGGATAAAACGGGCGCATGCGAATTGTTGTTGCTGTTATATAATTATTTTAATATACCGACAATGCAATGCCATTACTCTCCCCTGATGCGAATATTTCCTTTTAATACAAATAAACCAAATACAATACAATAACGAAGTAAATGCTAACGCTGTTCAGCTCTGTTAATGCGGGTTTGCGATGGATTTACGCCTCGTTGGCTTCTATGCCGTTTTGGGTTTAGCCATCCCCGTTCCAGGCCCAATTCTCTGCCCCAAAATCCAGGAGGGCCCGAGGCCAGAAGCGCCCTGAGCTACTGAGCCTTTACGGGGACCTTTCCACTCAACAACTGCTGGCCGGATCCAGGCCCTTAAAATCATCTTCGTTTCCACATAATCCATTTATTAGTTCTAGTTAGCCCCCCCCCCCCCGCTTTCGTCTTTTGCAAGATTTTTGAGTTTGGCTTCCCCCCCACCTGCTCTACGTGTATATTGG